GTGGACGAGGAAAAACGTCTGACTCCGTATAGAGGCTGAGGTACAAGCCCGACATATGGCTAAATCGCACAACATCGCTCAACAAACGAGACCAATCGATAGTGCCCAACGTGGACAGCTACACCGAGCCCCACCGTCGTAGTACCTGTAGGGAAGAACACCCAGCTCGCGATGGGCAGTTCACGCCAAGGGTAAATAGTCCCTACCGGGCTTCGCGCCCGACTGAGCGATTTCGCTCCATCTGCCCGACAAGTCGTCAAGAATGACGGGCCATCTAAAAGGGTCAAAAGGAAGTCTCTCCCCTCGAGTGCAACACTTAGGTGACTCTGGCCATCGGAAGAAGGCCGGGGACATATATAAACGAAAGGCGGGCAAACTCGCCAGCTAGGTCACAACCACTTACGGGCACTCCTCGGGCCCATAACTTAGGCTAAATTTTATGCAAAAATATAAGGTTTCAAGCACGGGAAACGATCAAATGTAAAACAGCATTCATTCAAAAAATGCCTGAAGGCAACAAAGCAAACAAGTATAAACCGACCAAAAAGGCCGACGATGTTCATGAATTACAATCAACGGGCACGCAGGCCCAAAAAATACCAACGGGCACGCAGGCCCAAACAAATATCAAAGCCACGCAGGTCCGCTATCCTACAAACAGGCGTCCCCGGAACCATCATTGTCGACAACCGGAGAGTCGGGCGGGGGCACGATCACGCCATCCACGATCTGATGTGTGTGGCCCGTCCCCTCAGTGACCAAACCAGGGTTTAACAAAGAAAGTTGGCCGACTGCGGAGTCGAACCCCTCCTCCAGAGCTCCGACGCAATCTGCTTCGAGTAACCGGATATGGGCGACCAGCTCTGATCGACTCTTCAAAGCCGCTATATCCTCCGGTTCGTCCTCGGCAGGAAGCATGGCGACTTTCATGTCCTCGATCTGTTGGGTCAAGCGCCCGATGTCGGTCTCCAGACGATCCCTGTCCGCACGGAGAAGCTCCCCCTCCTCGGCCAGCTTCCCCGACTTTTCTTTCTCCAGGACCAGCATCTCCCTCTCAGCATCCAGCAGCGATGCCTGCTCGCGGAACATCTCCTCGGAGCGTTCCAGGGCAGTCCTTAACTTCCGCGAGCTCGAGGTGAGAGCCGCTTTCTCCTGCTCAAGTTCTTCAATACGGACGGCATCCCCCCCTTCCTCGGACAACACCAGGGCCATTTCGGCCATTTTCACCAGCCCGTCCATGCTGGCGGCCAGATGCCTCTTCTGATCCTCCTTACTCATCCTCTTGATAGTCTTAGCCTCGTCGGCAACCACGGACAGAGGGAATCTCTCGAAGAAACCATCCTCTTTGAAGCAAGGGGGGAACCCGAAATATCTGACGGCGCTGGTGTCCTCGTTGACAGCCGGGCCGCTATCCACCCGGGTCCTCTTTCTTTGTATCAGGTTGGCATTGGGATCGACCTCTTGAACCTCTGGGATCTCGTCCGACGCGGCCCCCGAGCTGGGCGACGAATCCACCCTCACCACCTGAGGAGCGCCCGGACTATGTGGCGGGCCCATCCTCGTCGCCTGGGGAGCCTTCACGACCCTCCTACCCCGCTTCTGGTCGCAAGACAACTTCAAAAGTCTTTCCCTTCGACCGGCCATCGAACCTGCACAAAGTAAAAGACGGGTTAGTGTCGAGCAAGTTCATAAATAAATGACGAGCAAAGAAATTCAAGCAATAAACGACCTAGCAGACGAGCAGCCTGCCTGAACATCTGACACTCCACGAGTGCCTTAGTGTCAATCAGACGGGACTCAAATGTCGGATAACCCTCTGCATCCAAGACATCTTCCCCTTCCCTTGTGGCCCACCGGGCGGGGTGGAAACTGTCGACGAAACGACAAAGAGCGGCGTACGCCTCCTCGTCCTCCGAACACATGTCGCCCGCATCGGTGTGATAGTATCCAGTCTCGTGCTCGTAGTGCCTGAACATCCAATGCACAGGGAACTTGGCTGTACGGGCCATCACGGGATACCCATTGTTGTCTAAGACCGCCTCCCCGTCATCATCACTTATGGGCGCCTCCTCCTCGTACAGGGATCCTAAAGCAGACGTGGTAACCTGTCTCACGACATACCACTTGTCTTTAAAACCCCTTACGGAATCCATGTACATCTTGAATAGTCTCCTCGACTGTTTTAAGGAGACCCAGTTGTGCTTCCCTCCTCGGGACTGGCGCTGCAGATGAAAAATTCTGAAGAAGAGAGGTATCGTCGCCCCAATCCTCAGAAAGCGACATGTCAGCTTAAACGCCCGGATAAAGGCGAGCGAGTTCGGGTGCAGCTGCGACGGGGCCAGCTCCAGATGGGCGAAGACCCCGGTCTGAAAGTCACTAAAGGGAAGCTGCAGCCCAAGATCTTTGAACGCGATCTCGTACATTGGGAAACTATACTCGGGGTACACCGAGCAGATCCGGGCATTAGGGGTCGGTCGCGTAACTACAAAATTCTTTTGGAAATCAGGCTGACCATGGCCCGCCTCAAGGACACCATATGGCTTTCAGTCACGCCGGCTATATATCGATGCGATTCCTCGGGGCTCGGAGCCCACCCAATCCAACAGAGGATCGTCGACAGTATCGATCAAACTCACCGCCTCGTCAGCACTTTGTTCCTCCTGTTCGAGGCGTCCAGAGGAGCACGGCTCGTCCGCCATGGTTACCTGCAGAGCACGGGAAACCAGTCAATTGGGCACGAAACCATACGCTCGACGTAGCGGACCAGATCTAGTGCACGACAAACCACGTCGTTCCATGCACGACCACAAAAGTTAATTTGCAACAAGCGATCGCCTCCCCGACATCAGATAACTCGATGTGTTCTTCTCCAAACCGCCTGAGCAAATCGACAACGCGGCCACTCTCCAACATGTCGACCCAAGGTATGAACATGGCGAGCAACATCATGAAACCTACGGCCAGAACCATGAACATACCGGGCACGATCATGAATCAGGCGCCCTGGATCATGAAGACCCCGGGCAGCGCTGCAGATTATTACCTAAAACTATGAATCTACCGGCCACGAGCATGTGTTTGCCGGTCCTAAGCATGAATATGTCGAGCTAAGCATGAGTTTACCGGGCTAGTCCCACGCGCACAGTCCCTAAAACGTCTACAACGCTGTGAATCATGCATTACAACAAGAAAATAAAGAAGATAAGTCACTTACTTGGAATCAAAAAGTGGATTCGGCTACGGAGGAAAAGAATCCGTAACAGGAGATCGCAGCTGTGAAAAATCTGGAAGAACAGCAGCAGCAGGAGCGCAAAGAGTAGAAACGTGTTATGGGGCCCAAGGTTCCTATTTATAGTGATGACGTGGAATACCAAACGTCACCTCGGGCAACCACGGAGTTTCTATCCTCGACGCACTGCTCCCAACGCAATGATGACCCTATCTTCATAGGGTGGCGGCACAGTTCCCAAAAGATACCTCGTGTGCTCGACAGACACGCGCTGGCAAGGATCCTCCGAGCATCCACCGCGAAAGATTTGTCTCCGAGCACGACACGGAGAGGCCCTCGAGGGCCTGCATCTCTGACCCGGGCGCGAGACCCCGAAGCGGAAACGCCCTGAGATCAAGCCATGGCTCCTAACAAAGGAACCACGACTTGGGGGGCTCCTGTTCTGGACTGGGCCCGACAGGCCCAATAGCATTGCTAAGGCCCAATCCAAATGGTCTTGCTGAGGACCACGCCGACCAAAGGGTCACAGTCGTGCCCGACGTGTTCCCTGAGGTCACGTGCTCGACCTCTACATCTCCAGCTCGACATCCTGCTGTTCAGCTCGACATCACCTCGAGCATCCCCAACTAGGGTAGACTCAGTCCACTGCACTCCCAACGAGACCCCGAAAAGACCGCGTCTCCGTCCGCCCGCACTTCACGCAGAACATCCAGGAAGGGGACCACGTGCGGGTCCCCACTACGCACGTAGAACCTGGCAGTTCCTCCATTGGGCCAAACCTGCCCGGCCCAACGGAGGAACCTTGGCCCAGCGCTGGGGGCTATAAATACCCTCTGTTTCCAGAGGGTCAGGTATTCATCATTCTACCCATACTTACTATTGCCTGCTCGTGCTTCTACTTACTTCAGCATCGGAGTGTCTTGCAGGTACCCCCCCCCCCCCCCCCCACCTCGTTCAAAACCTTCAGCTCGGAACCAGCCGTGACGGTCCACTTCTGATCAGGTCAGATCACTTAACAAAATCTAACTTAACTTAGTTCAATTTATTTCCGTCCTACGTCCTGATAAATCAGCTAATTCAATTGATATTAGTGCAGGACAACCAGTTATAAGAGCGCGGGTTGCAATTAAGACATACCATTTTTTCAAATCCATAAATCCCATTTTTTTTCAAATCCTTATTTACTTGTTATTCTGCAATCCTTAATTCATTATCTAGTCATTCCTACTTTATTATAGATAGAATAATAATTTTCAATAATAAAATAATCTTGGCACATTTAACCAGTCAGGTATATGATCAATAATAGATAGATAGACCTAAGTTATTATATCATGAATAAGTGCATATAAGTTTGTAGGATTCCATGCAACATATGAGAGATTATGAAACAAATTAAGTTGATAGACAAACCTCTATTTTAGGATAACTTAATGTGTTTGGTTTTTCAAAACAAGAACAATAACAAACAACTGTTTATCTAATTATAACCGAATGAGTTCCACCACCCAAAACATTTTCATTCTTATCCTTTGCAAAATGCATGCAGATGAAGCCAGAAAACACACAGAGAAGTTAAGGTTGTGATCTCCTCCTCATCCAAACAAGGTCATGATCTTTCCTTCCATATTATATTGCCAACTTCTCAAATAATTGCACCAGCTAGCCTTATCTTTAATCTTCACTAACACAATAGATTGCAAAAGGTTTGGCTTTATCCTTATCTTTTGCATTCTACTTGTTGGTTCTTAAAAGAAAGAAAAAACAGAAAATGGCGTTTCGATTGGTTACTTGTGTTTTTGGTGGGCGGTTTCTAGGGAAATTTTCACACTTTATGTTGTGCATGGTGCTTGAATGGGTGTTGATGATTGCACTCTTCATTGATGGGTTTCTAGCATTTTTCACCATTGAGTTTTCAAGATTCTTTGGTTTGGAAATTCCGTGCTGGCTCTGCGCGAAGATGAATCATGTTTTCGCGCACAATACGCCTAATTTTTATTACAACAATTCCATTTGCGTGGCTCACAAGAAAGACCTTTCGTCTATGGCATTTTGTCACAATCACAAGAAGCTTTCTGATATAAGACAGATGTGTGAAGGGTGTTTACTTTCATTCGCGACGCAGAAGGAATCAAATTGTGATACCTATAAGTCTCTGGTCGGGGTTTTGAATAAGAATCTTGATTGCTTTGTTGAAGATGGACACAATATTCAATTGAGTTTGAAGGATGGCGAGGTCTTGCAGGACGAGAAAAGAAGTACTCAGAGGTGTGAATGCTGTGGAGCACCATTGAAACCCAAATCTTCCATCTCAAGAAGGAGTTCATGCTCGTTTTCCCAAGCTTCCGCCGCTTTGCCACCAGTTTATCCAATCGCAAAACCAAAATCTGAGGAATCTCGCGGTGTAGATTCTCCTCAAATCCTGTCTGCAAAAGAAGATTCAGAGCTTCCACAGAATGAGGATGTCAGCGACATTAAAAACCAGAATGCTAAATGTGAGTGCATATAAAAACATGAATTGAGTTTTAAGTTAGCTATAATCAGGGCCGTCTTTAAGGACATGTCAGGATTAAACTTTGACTAAATAAGGCCTTATAAAATGTTTGTCAGGCATAAACCTATTACATGCTATCCATGAAACAAAATGTGCGATAACTACGTTGAGACATTGACAATGAACATATCATTTTTTTATGCAGTAAAGGAAGTACCAAAAGAAGCCGCGCTGCCTCTATTGCCAGGGTCCGATGATATAAACGTAGAGTCCCCGAAAACCCCTTCTTTACCATGGGGCAGCAGGTTTTTTGGACTTCCACTTACAGATTCTCCAAAGAACAGTCCAAGATGGTCTTCTGCGCCGGCCAATAAATCACCGCTAGAAAAGACAGAATTTGCGTCTGACTCTAGCGAGGTTAGTTCTCAAAATGAAGAAGATGATCCTGTCGTAAACAGTTTGAAGAGGCAAGTTCGTCTAGATCGCAAGTCACTCATGGCGTTGTACATGGAGCTGGATGAAGAGAGAAGTGCTTCGGCTGTTGCTGCCAACAATGCAATGGCTATGATCACGCGCTTACAGGAAGAGAAGGCAGCTTTGCAGATGGATTCTTCACAGTATCAAAGAATGATGGAGGATCAGATAGAGCACGATGAAGAAGTCCTGCAAGAAACTAATGAGCTGCTTCTGAAACTTGAGGAAGAAGTTAAGACTTTAGATACCGAGTTGGAGATTTACAGAGATGCATATGGATACTTGACAGAAGATGATGTTAAGGCTCGTGGTGGAAACAACAGCTTTACAACCGGGTCAATTGAAGGCGAGGATGACGTAGAAAAATACCTCGATCTTCAACAACCTGGTTCGTCAAAGGCATATAACGGGGAAGGGAAAATCAAGGAGTCGCTAAAAGATTTTAGAACGGAGAGAACGTATCTTCTTAGCAGGAAGAAAATGGAAACTCTAACTCTCTTGACAGAGAGTGGAATATAACACATTAATACTGTAATATTGTCCTTTATTTCTATTTTCTTTTATTGAGTGTGTTCAAACCCAAATAGTTAGCTCGTGGCGAAGACACTAAGTTATTAAACATTAGATGCTTCGCGAAAGGGCCACTCAAGTAACGGAAGCAGCGAGTAAAATTATTTGATCTCTCTATTTTCTCTGGTTAACATCCTCATTACTAGGCTTGTAGTAGTCTTTTCTAGGATAATTTGGATACTTGTGTGAATTTTAATTGTTTAGATGGTTATTTTCAAGATTTCCCTTTCTTTATTGGTATATACTTCTGTCATATGCTTCACTAACTTTCTGCAACTTCACATTCTTGTGAATGAAAATAGCTTTCCATCAAAATGCAACAGGACTGTTAAATACATCAATTTCAATCATTTTTAGTGAACAATAAGTTACAGAAATCTGATACATATTTATTGATAATCAGATTCTTACAATGACTCAATTTTCCTAACAAGGGGTAACTTTCATAACCGAATACATATACTGACAAGTTACATATGAATACATATCGCGAAAGCAAAATCCCATCACAGCAGACTTTCGAAATGAAAACCACAATAAGATTATTTCAGTTGCTACCATATTATATGTATTTTTTACAAATGATGTCGTACAATATTCTACACAATGACTTGGCCGTCAATAGAGCGTGGTGACCAACCCCTATGATTTTTTGTATTTTTAGATGAAAAACGAATCATACTGATTGTTGTGTCATTCTCGACGTATCATCCATTTGTTATGATGTTTTATCTAAACCACCCGCTAGCTGCATATGTAGCCATCCTGGCTGTGATCCTTGAGCATAGCCCCTTCCTGCTTGCGATCCAAATACTATTCCCGAAAGGTCAGATGGTTGAGCACCAACCTAAACCAACAGATCAGCTTATAAATATTAACGGTGCCAAAAGAAATTATCTGTTAAAGAAATTTTCATAGAATATTTATCTTTGATAAAAATGGAAAATCTTCTAAAAATGAATTATACGATGAAATATAAATAAACGCACTGAATCAGTATTTTATACTCATTTAACTCAACTAACAGATACCATCTAAATTGAGTTATCCCAATCCCCCTAATTTGGTATGGCAATTAGTTAGACTTACATCTTTTAAAGGGAAACAATCAACAGAAGAGTGCATATTCAATCTTGAATTAACTGCTTCAAGCTTCATTGAAAGAAACTGGAAAAAGAAAAGTAAGTTAATTTCCAAACAATAATTAATTAGAAGAAAATAATAGAAAAAATAAAAGATATAAGCACCTCAACTTGATGTTGTAGTGATTGAATATAATTGATGATCTCATCAAGCACAAGTGCTTTACCAATTACCTAAAACATTAAACAAAAAACATATAAACAAAAGTTCAATACAAAACTATAATTTACAAAACATTGTAATTATTATAATTTATAACTACCTTGTTACATCCTGGAACTAATTCTTGTAGAATTTTCATTCTTTCACTAATTTTTTCTCTTCTTGCCTGTCATAATAATAATAATAATAATAATAATAATATATTTAAATATTTCAACACTCTTGAAAATAAAATTATTAATGAAATTGTATTACTCTTTCAGCGAGACTGTGACTATCAGTAGCTTGGCCTCTTCTGGCTCTAACATGAATGTAATCTTGCTTTGGTGGCGGTGGCGGTGGCTGTTCAGAAGAAGTCTTCACATTCTGTTGTTGTTTTTCTACTGAATTTGTATCAGGCTCGAGTTTAAACGCCGCGTTGTGATCATCTTCTGGTAGTGCTAGTTTTATATGCTTAGTGGCAGAGTCATTGTTTGAGAGAGAGTTGTTTCTTTTGTTGTTGTTTTGAGATGGAAAGTGAGGCCAAATTTCTGATAAACATGGGTTAGCAGAAGAGAAAGTGCAGTCGTTGATGAGAGGATGATGCTCCATTGGGTTGATAGTAATAAAAATAATAATAATAATGAAGAGTTTGTTGTGATTTTACTTATTGAGGTAGTAGTAGTAGTCGTACTACTAGTATAGTACTAGCAATTATGAGTTTGATGTTGATCAATGATCATGATTTTTTTGGAGGAGAGTGTTTCTGAGACGAGAATTAGTCTATGCAGTTGCGTGTAGAAGCGTAGAAGAGAAGAAGAATTATGGAGAAATTGATGAGTGTGATGGATGGTGAAGTTAGTTTGTGATTGCTTTCGGTCTGGAGAAGAGAGTGTTGAGTACTGCGGTTCTTATCAACTTATCGTTGTCACTTTAAGGTGGTGGGTTCTACCGTAACGCTGGATTACTGTTATAAAATTACCCCAAACTGTTGTTTATCATTGTGTTTGTTTAACAAAAAACAAGAAAGAAAATGAAAGGTGAAAGTAATGTGGCAGATAAAGTTTTTGTTCGCTTTCTGTAAATAATAGTTTGGCTTATTCATATAATGATGTTAAAATTAACCTGAGATTTCTGAAGTTTAAATTTTTTTAACAATTTTAACCCATTTTGTTCATTAATCAATGCTTTACACTTTAAACATTAGGGGCTGTTTTGAGAGTTGATTTTTGAGGGTTTTAAAAAAAAAAAGATTTTGGAGAGTTACATATATAGATGAATTTTCTTTGTATTATCTATTATTTTAGATTGATCTACGATCTAATCTATCTTGAAACAGATGTCCTAGATCTCAAGAAATAGGCAGGGTTCAGACATGTTTTAGAGACACACGACTGCGTTTAAATAATTTATTTGAATATGTTTGGTGAAGAAAATTCACAAGATCCTATTACATTTGTCTTGCGAAACAATTGTATTAAAATTGTTGGAATAATATAGCAAGTGTGAGTAAGTGGAGAAATAGTCTCACATTGGATAGGAATGTGGATACTTAAGCATATATAAGTGGGAGAACTCACCCACCTATCACCTTAAGGTTTTAGGTGGATAAGTGGTGTGTCTCTCACAAATGTGCTTATTCCTATACTATTTATCGATGCTCCTAATATCTCCCTCCAACATGGTTCGAGAAAGGGATCGGAAGAAAACCCACTCACCTATCACCTTAAGGTTTTAGGTGGATAAGTGGTGTGTCTCTCACAAACCCACTCACCTATCACCTTAAGGTTTTAGGTGGATAAGTGGTGTGTCTCTCACAAAGGTGCTTATTCCTACACTATTTATCGATGCTCCTAATATCTCCCCCCAACATGGTTCGAGAAAGGGACCGGAAGAGAACTCACTCACCTATCACCTTAAGGTTTTAGGTGGATAAGTAGTGTGTCTCTCACAAAGGTGTTTATTCCTACACTATGTATCGATGCTCCTAATATCTCTCCCCAATAAAAATAAAAAATCGTTCATATTTAGATACACATTGGTCTAAACCCTAAATTCTACACTCTTCATCTCTTCTAACTCATAAAAGTGTTTGCAAGTACATCTCTCTACGAAAATTAACGTACAACACAATTATTGGGGAGTTCATCATCGTCATCATCACTTAAAGTTTTAGATATTTTCAAATCAACTAGTTTACAAAGAATAGTTGACAAGCTAATTAATGACTAATAACAAATAAAATAAGTTATTGAATTTGTATTGTTTGATAAAATTAATGTTTGAAGTAGTGTATCAATATGAAATGACATAAAAAAATTTAACTAATACTTAATTTCTTTCAATTTAAGTCAAACTAAAACGTTTTTTTTTTTTGGTCTTTTATCTTGAGTTTAATGTTCATATTATCTTCTACTTAAAATTTTTTATATTAGTCCTTTAGACTATGTTTGAATTGATCAAATATAACAAAGCGGAATGAAACGTAATGGAGTGAAATGAAATGTAGTATAACGAAATATAGATCTCACTCTATTGTTTGAGCATTTTTATTAAAAATACTTTATTCTATTGCGTGCACCCTAAATTAGATGGAACAAAAATTAATGATAGGATGAAATGAATTTCATCATGTTCCATTCTAATTCATTCATTATTTACAAATCCAAACAATTAGATCTCATTATATACCATTCTATTCCATCTCATTCCACAAACTCAAACATATAATTAATTTTGTTAAATTGTTTCGCGTTAGTCATTTTCATTAATTCCACGCAAACAACCTTAAGAAATGCTCATGTGACTGTTGTGCCAAAAAGTTTCTTCCAGTTTTTGTGTCTTTGTTCCTTGAGTCCCAAAATTAGGGTTCCTAAAATAGTTCATTTTTTAAAATTTCAAAATATTTGATGTGTACATGTCATGACTAGTTTAAATTCAAATACTGCATTAGTTGTGTGGTAATAAGTTGTCCTTTATTGAATTTCATTATTAAAGTCCATAATATTGTGTGAAAATATGGATCCCAAATAAATTGACTCTTTTTATTAGCTATTGCTAATAATAGAGATAATGAAACACAAAAAAAAGGAGGTTAGGGTTTCAATAATATCATTAGTATAACTTATGAAAATAAAAATAAAAATAAAACCTAAATAGATTAAATTATCCGTATATCAATTATAACAAAGTGTTAGTGTGTGAGAAACTTTTAGTGAGAGGAGAAAGAGAGAATAAAGGAAATAAGGATTTTATTATTGAATAAATTGTATTGTACAAATAATGATACAAACTAGGACTATTTATATACAATTCTAATTGGGCTTGGGCTTACACGTCTTGAATTATATTTAAATATTAAATCTAATATTTCAACACACTCCTTATAATCCAAGTTGTCGAACATACGCTAGTCATAGTCGATCTGAATTATTCCTAATTTCTTTCTCTAATTTAGGAATTCGTCGATCTTCAATCCTTTGGTGAAAATGCCGGCTAACTCTTCTTCACTTGAGCAATGTCTAACTTCAAGTTCATCTCGATTTACCGTTTCCCTTAAGAAGTGAAATCTAGCTTCGATATGCTTACTTAATCCATGCAAAATTGGATTCTTCGCCAAATTTATGACTGACTTATTATCAATTTGCAATACAAGAGGTTTCTTCATTTCGACCTCCATTTCTTCAAGTACCAATCTGATCCAAATTGCTTGATATACAGCATAGGATCATGCTATATGTTCTGCTTCACTCGATGATAATGCCACCATAGATTTCTTTTTCAAGCACCATGAGATTGGAGCACCAAATACTTGAAAGAAATATACAGTCGTTCTTCTTTGATCTTCCTTATCTCCACACCAATCAGCATATGAAAAACAAGTAATTGTTGCTTCTTTGCCTTCAGAATCTCGTCGAAATAGAATCCCATACTCTATTGATACTTTTAAGTATCTAAGAATTCTTCTTGCAGCCTTCATGTGTGACACCCTTGGTTCGCTCATGTATATGCTCACTAATTCGATAGTGAAACCTATATCAGGTCGACTGTTGCACACATACCTCAGAGATCCCACAATTTGTTTGAAAAAAGTTACATCGACTTTTTCTTTCTCTCTATTTTTCTCCTACTTCACATTTGGTTCGATAGGTGAGAATGTAGGATTTGAATCATCCCTTCTGAATCTCTTGAGTATCTCTTTGACATACTTTCTTTGATGTAGCACCATGCCTTGCTTTGACATTTGAAATTCCATGTCTAGGAAATAAGGCAACTTTCCCAGATCTGACATTTCAAATTCTCTCATTGTCATCTCTTAGAACTTCGACAAGTTCTTCAAGCTATTTCCAGGTACCAGCAAGTCATCGATATATAAGAAGATGATTGTTATATCTCGTGCTACAACCTGAACATAAACATCATACTCATACTTGCATTTTACAAACCCCAATTTGACTAAGTATGAGTCGATCTTCTTGTTCCATGCCCTAGGTACCTGTTTGAGGCCATATAGCACTTTGTGCAACTTATGTATTTTACTCGCTTCCTTCTGAATCACAAACCTTAGAGGTTGTGTGACATAAACCTCTTTGTCTAAAGGACCATTCAGAGATGCTGATTTCTCATCTAAATGAAATATCGACCAATCCTGGTTGCATGCCAATGCTACCACTAGTCGAACAATCTCCAATCTTGCTACTGGAGCAAATACTTCAGAGTAGTCGAGTCCTACTCTTTGAAGAAAACCTCGAGCTACTAATCTTTCTTTATATCTTGCTATCAACATATTAACACTGTCTTTCAACTTGAACACCCATTTTACTTTGATAACTTTTGTATATGCTAGAAATTCGAAGAACTCCTATGTATTGTTTCGTTCAATTTCCTATAACTCTTAGACCATAACTAACTTCCATTGTTTAATCTTTAAAGCTTCACTATAGTTGATTGGTTCAACACCTGTAAGTAAAGAAAAATTAACTAATTCTCCATCTGGTGTGACTTCATCATCACCAACCACTTCATAATCATGAAGTCTTGCTGGAAGAACTATAGTTCGTTGAGGTCCTTGGCTTGTGCTAGGCACACTCTCTCTGACTTCAATATTATCGGGAATATCAGCAACTTCTTCGACTTCAATTGGAATATCTACAATTTCTTTGACTTCGAATTCATCTGTTTCTTCATTGAAACCATAGCTCATCAATGGCTTGTTAATTGTATCATTAGAATTCCAATCCCAGACAGAATTTTCATCTATCACAACATCTCTACTCAACATAATCTTCTCATTAATTAGATTAAATATCCTATATTCACCAGTTTTATGATATCCTACCAGAATAATAGGTTCACTCTTGTCTCCAAGCTTCCTCCTTATTGCATCAAGAACATTCTTGTATCACATAGAGATAAACACCTTCAGATGACTCACTGATGTTCTTTTTCCACTGCACACTTCTTTAGGAACCTTGTTCTTCAATTTCTTGGTAGGACACATGTTTAGGATATAAACTACAGTTGAAAAAACTTCACCCCATAAGGATTTTTGCAAATTCTTTTGCTTCAGGATGCATCTCGCCATATCCAATATGGTTATGTTTCTTTTGTCT